CTCAGTAATCATTGCATTGGGCTTCCATCCGTCCTCTGGTAGGCCTGCTCAGTAATCATTGCATTGGGCTTCCAACCGTTCACTGGTAGGTTTACTCAGTAATCATTGCATTGGGCTTCCATCCATCATCTGGTAGACCTGCTCAGTATTCATTGCATTGGGCTTCCATCCATCCTCTGGTAGACCTGCTCAGTAATCATTGCATTACGCTTCTATCCATCCTCTGGAGGCCTGCTCAGTAGTGGTTGTCTTGGCCTTCTATCCATCCTCTGGTAGCTCACATCCCACTGCCATTGTTTTTCAGCCTGTGAAAAAGAAGCACCGAGCAAGAATGATTGAATATTTCATTGATGTAGCCCGGGAGTGTTTCAACATTGGCAACTTTAACTCCTTGATGGCAATAATATGTGAGTACGTCTAGAAAGGATCTTGCCATTTTCCTGGTAACGGGACTGATGGAAAACAATTGTCAACAAAAAATGAGCAAAAGATGAGGGTTTTCTAAATCTAGCAGCTTATTTTATGTTCCAGACTGCAACCCTCAAGAAAAAGTATATATAAAACACATTTTGAAGTCACATAGAGGCAGATTTGTTTGTAAGACGCCAGGGCCACCTTAATCAGCCCATCTTGGCCCAACTTGGGACTCGGCAGTCCTCGGTTTGCTGGTAGTGTGATTGGGAGGGAAAGGAAAAGGAGGTAATATACTTCTAAAGGCATTGCTTTCAGGCTCCTCGTTAGTTTTTTTCTCATTATTTTTGTAAGAATATTTTGGCATGATCTCTTACCATCATCCCCCACCAGCCTTGGTCCATTTATGCAGGTACTTGGCTCCCCCATTAGACTTTGGGCTCCTTGAGAGCAGACTGTACTTGCCTTTCTCTGTATCTTTATGACAGAGCACAGTGTCTGTCACACAGTAGGTGCTTAATAAATGCTTGTTGACTGACTGACTTTTTTAAAATAATAATTCACTTATTTTTAAATTATGGAATAAACCAAACATTTTCATAACATAGTATAATAAAAAAGATGATTTCACATGAAACTGCACATTTATAATGTGTAACTTGCTATTCCTTTTAAATATATAGTAAAGTTACTGTGTAAATTGTTTTCTTTTTTTTTCCTTTTTTTCTATCCTCCCTCCTCCCATACTGACTGACTGATTTTGAATAATTTAAGGCAGTGAAGCCACTTCTTGCCAAGGGTTTGGAAAGATTGTGCATCAGATACAGGGTCTGGGACTGAAATAGAATCCAAATCATTTTTGAAGATGTATAGACAAGGCTGGCCTAGATAAATGAGACAGAATGGAGATGTGTCTATAATTTGGACCTTTTTTTCCTCTCCCCCTCCCCCATTTAAAACAGTCTTTAACACATAGTGACAAAAAATCCCAACAAATTTCCTTGCCACTTTGGCTGAAAAATTCGGTGGAAATGAGCCAAAAAATCCCTCCAAGTCATATTTAAACAAGGGTTCTTCAACTTTTTTGCGCCGGTCTGGTGAAACCTATGGAACGCTACTCAGAATAATGTTTTTAAATGCACAAAATAAAATACATAGGATTATAAAATAAATCAATTACATTGAAATATTATTTGAATCATTGATTGAAATATTATTAAAATATGACAAAATTCCATATTCACGGACCCCAGCTCAAGAACTCCTAACCTAGAGAAAGAAAACATCATAGTTCCACAGTCCCTGTGTCAGAGGGTAGAGGGAATAAGCCAGTCACTGCACCAAGTGCTTTACAAATGTGATCTCATTTCATCCTCACAACAGCCCTGTTTTATTACTGCCATTTTACAGATGATAAAACTCAAGCACAGACAGGTTAAATGACTCACCCAGGGTCACACAGCTGGGAAGTGTCTGAGGTCATATTTGAACTGGGGTCTTCCTGACTCCACTCCCAGCCTGCACCACCTAGCTAAAAAATTGGCTTAATTTTCCTTGCTATATAGTGGCATCAGAGAACCTGTCTCTCTTTCTTAAAGTGTGAATATCAGAGGCCTGAATCAGTTGGACCATTGGGAGCAATTTTCCTGTTTAATTCTAAAGACATTTGCATTTAATTTATTAAAACTAGATTGAACTCCTGCTGTGCACAGAATAATAAAGCAGGCACAAGTGGGGGGATTTTTGGGGAATTGAAGGCACGGTTGCTAGAGTTTACAATCTATAGGAATTTGTAGAAACATTGGTAATGGGTGCATTTTTAGAATCCAAATTTAGACTAGAGTTCTGCATTTGATTTGCTTTTTTTCTTTTTAATTTTACATGGAAAGCTGGCATGAACATGAGCCCTGTGTCCCGGCTAAAGAAAACCTGGACAAAAGTGAAGACTGCCAAGTTTGACGTTCTCGAGGTAAACACATCTGATGCTCTGAAGGAATCCCAGCATCCTTGGGCTCTTGCCAAGGGAACCCGCCTCACCATACCTCGTGGATGGATTGGCTTTGGACCCAAGGAGACCCAGCATAATCATCCTTTAAGACGCAGGGCAAAGAGAGATGCAGTTAGAGGAGATGGGAGCCATTAACAAGGCCCTGACTTGATATTGAGTGGGCAGTTTTCCCTTTTTAAAAAAAGATTGTGTCGATGTAGTTAACTTATTAAACGATCCCCTGACAGTGGCATTATAGTCTTAGGTGAGAACCTTGGTATGGCAGAAGAAGAGGGACTTTGCAGGATTCAAGGACTTTGAAAGAAAAAAACAGTCACATAACTTTTTTTTTTGGCTAGGCAATGGGGTTAAGTGACTTGCGCAGGGTCACACAGCTAGTAAGTGTTATGTGTCTGAGACTGGATTGGAACTCAGGCCCTCCTGAATCCAGGGCCGGTGCTCTATCCACTGCGCCACCTAGCTGCCCCGTAACTTTCAATAAATATATGGTTACTATTGTTAATAGTAAATGTAAACCTCAAAGCAATATTCTGTAATAATGACTCAGGTCATTAACCTATATATAACCTATACATACATACATACTTACGCATATACATACATACAAACCCATTTTATAGATAGGAAACTGAAACTCAGCAGTCTTGCCCAAAGACACGCAGAATGCAGATGTGTTAGACAGGATTCAAACCCAAGTTTCCGAACTCCAAGAGCTGTGTTCCATTCCCATAATATCATACTGCACCTCTCTCTTTCCGTTCATCCTCTCTCCATCTCTCCCTTTCCCTCTCCCTCTCCCTCCTCCTGCTCCTCCTCCTCCTCCTTCTTCTTCTCTCTCTCTCTCTCTCTCTCTCTCTCTCTCTCTCTCTCTCTCTCTTTCTCTCTCTCTCTGTATCTCTATCCCTCCCTGTCTCTCTCTTCGTAACTCTATTCCTCTCCATCTGTCTCTCTCTCTATCTCCCTTTCCCTCTCCCTCTTCCTGCTCCTCCTCCTCCTCCTTCTTCTCCTTCTCTCTCTCTCTCTCTCTCTTTCTCTCTCTCTGTATCTCTATCCCTCCCTGTCTCTCTCTTTGTAACTCTATCCCTCTCCATCTGTCTCTCTCTATATCTCCCTCTGTCTCTCCCTGTCCCACTCTCTCCACCACCTCTCCATCTTTCTCCAGACCTGTGATATGTTTGATACCAGGCACTCCAAACTTAGGAAAACTCCTCCCGATGCATGCTGGCAACTTTTCTGCAACTTAAGGTATTAGAGAGTTGTCTGGGAACACTCAAAGGTTAAGTGACTTCACCAGTGTCATTGATAGTATGAATTGGGGGCAGAACTTGAACCCAGGTCAGGTCTTCCTGACTTGCACACCAGTAATCCATCCACTTCCCCACTTCATCTCTACTCAAATGTTAGGGGCTGTTGCTGTTATGCTGTAAGGATAGGGCCAGGGACTGGACCTGGGATTTCATGATACAGGAAACTCCAATGTGAGGAAACCTTCTCCACCGATGTAGGTTCAATACCTTTTCTGCAATTTACAGCCTTAGTGCTTAGGCACCAAGAGGTTCATTGCCTTACCCAAGGTCACACAGCCAGTATGGATCAGTGGTACAAGTTGAATCCAGGGCTTCCTGAATCCAAGGGCAGCTCTCTACCCACTCTGTTGCAGCTGCCTTTCATGGATCAATAACCACATGAAATTATATAAAGAAGTAGGTGCTTCTTTATCCAGGCATTTTCTCATCCTTCTGAAACCACCTGGAATTATTCTAGGAGATGATGATGAATGAGTCAATTCCAAAAACCTCAGGATTAGGAAATATGGTTAAGATTACTTAAGTGACTATTCATATTTACTAGCCATTTCTCTAATATGTCTCCTTTCATTGCCCCTAAGGTGATTTATTAGTAATTTTTTTTTATCAAATGCAAGCAGTAGGTTCTCTGCAGAGGCTGACAGAATGTGACCTCATTATATTTCTCTAACCATCCTCATGCTCTAATTATCCTTTATATCAAGGGTTCTTAACCTTGTTTGTGCCATGGACCCCTCTGGCAGTCTGGTGAAGTTTATGCATCTCCTGTCAGAATAATGCATAAAATAAGATACCTAGGAATACAAAAGAAGCTGAGTGTCTCGAACTAGTCACCAATTTTTTTTAAGTTCATGGACCCCAGGTTAAGACCCATTGCTTTACTTAAAAATTAGTCAGTGAATTTTTCTAATGTTGTTTAATCAACTAATTGCCAATGATGGATTTACTTTCAAATCTATGAATTTGGACTAGTCAACACTATCAATTCTTACAAATAGTAAAATCTGTTTCAGATATCTGAAAAGGTTTATGCTTTACCATCTATCCTCTACATTAAAAAGAAACCCTACCCCTAATCTGAGTGCCTTCACAGAAATTAGCTTGCTATTTTCATAATTGTCATTCTAGACAAAGTACAGTTGAATCTTTTGTTAGGAGATGCTGAGTAGTAATGCTACTTCTCTTCTGTGTACAGCATCAGATGGACCCTTCAAGCAATTTTTATAATTACCGAACAGCTCTCCGAGCAGCAGCGCAAAGGTCTTTGACGGCTCAGAGCAGTAGAGAGAAGGTAGGTTGCAAAAATAGACTGTTACAAGAGGCTCTTTAGTGTGAGGCCACATGTTTTATTATGAAATGAAAAGTAATGTCAGTGTTTTTATTGAGCCTCTCCTTTTTCTTTTTGGGCACACCAGAGGAGCTTTAATCCATTCATCCTTTAATACCCGGGGGGAAAGATACAATTAGAGGAAGGCAACAGTAAATAAGACCATGAATTGACCATTTTTTGTTAATAGTTAACTTGGTAAATCATACCCTGACAGCTGCATTAAAGTCTTTGATGTACTGCCCCATTCTCCTTAACTTGCCCAATCTGTTTCCCCATTGAGTTCCCAGAAGAACCATGTATGTGTGAACATGGAAGAAGAAAGCCCAAACCTTATCTCTCTTTTTGGAAATAGGGACTGTTTGTTTTTATTATTGTATCTCCTGATGCCCAGCATGTAGTCACTGTTGCTTGTCAAAGCAAAATTGAATTATCTTCAAAAAATGAAAGCCCGAAGAAACATTACAACAAAAATAAGTAATTTTAAAACAGCCCTTCTGAAAATCAAAGCCGAGATTGACAAAATTGGAAGCAAGAAATTGAATTGATCAATTAAACTAGAAACTGATTTTGAAAAAACAATATAATAGGTAAATGTGTCGTCTGATTAAAAGAGAAAGAGAAGATGACTAAATTGAAAAAATTCTCGACAAAAGACAGTGAAATAAAAGGAAACGCTCAGAAACTAATTTGCCCAGTTATATGCCAACAAAACTTTGAAACAGATGAACATCTAGATTAACTGAACAAGAAATAATTTTAAGAACTCAGTTTCAGAAAAATTCATTGACCAAGCCACAAATGAACTCTCAAGGAAAAAAACCCAAGACCAGATGAACTTACAAGTGAATTCTATCAAACATTCAGAGAAAAATTAATTCCTGGATTATATAAACCATGTAACAAAAAAAAAAAGTAGGAAAAGAAGAGAGCCTGCCAAACTTCTTCTATGATACAGATATATATGGTCTCAATACCTATCCAGGAAGGGACTAAGCAATGAAAGAGAACTCTTGATCAGTGAATACTATAGTTTAGAGTAGTATAATAATACTGTTATAATATACATAGCATTATAATATGTATGGTATTATAATATTGCAGTATTATAATAATACTATTATATATATAATATTATAACATAGTTTACTGAATGGTAAAGTGTTATCCAAAAGTCTGCAGTAATATATTCAAATGGAATTTATACCAGCAATTCTGTTGTTGTTGTTCAGTCATTTCAGTCGTGTCTGATTCTTTGTGACCCCATTTGAGGTTTTCTTGATGGAGACACTGGAGTGGCTCGCCATTTCCTTCTCTAGCTTATTTTACAGTTGAGGGAACTGAGACAAGCAGAGTTAAGTGACTTGCCCAGGGTCACACAGCTAGGAAGTATCTGAGGCTGGATTTGAACTGGAAGAGAAGTCTTCCTGACCCCAGGCCTGGTGCTCTATCCACTGCGCCACCTAAATGATGTAGATATCACCCGATAAAGTCTCCCTGATTTTTCTGTGACTAAATTGAATAAAAATTCAGTAATGACTTACCCATTGTATTTAGCTCCAGATATGATGACAGTCAGCCCAAATTTGAATAATCCCAATCAAGCTCCTTACCAGCTTTCTGGTATCTGAAAAGCTTCTACTAATGGTGGAGATGTCATTCCACAATTAGAAAGAAAATGCTTAGAGCAACAACCTCTGTTTAAGATAACTAGCTCAAAAGAGAAGTGGTCAGCAAACTATGGCCTGCAGGCTGCCTGTTTTTGTATGGCCTGAAAGCTAAGATTGGTAACTGGACATGGTCCTTGACCCACAGTTTGCTAACCCCAGCACGAGAACATAATCAATATCAGATATTTTCCTGTCTTCAGAGGGAGTAGGAAGGCACTAGTCACATGGCACATGGGGTGTAGGAGGGTGGCCGCCGAGATGGAAAGGGGAGGCTCACGACAAGACAACCCCCTTCTCTCTCCTCTATTTTACGCTTCTCCCAATATATTGCCATACAATGGTGCTTGTATGATGTCCCATGTGAGGAGTCTGTGGCCATTCTGGTAAGATGAATATCACATTTTCTCACTAGAAAGCAGCAGCTGGCCCTGGAAATTCTGGCGTACTCCAATGTTTTACCTTCTCAGTGGGCTTCCAGCGATGCCTGCTCATGTTAAAACAGTGTGTCTCCTGGACCCAGAATTGATAACGGGCAAATACATTGCTGTGTGATAAAGAAGGTGAAAATAGCTAGATTTGTGTGAGATTTTGTTCTAATTTCCATCTATAGAATTGGGAATAAGCCCATCAAAAGCTTCTTTTCCCTTCCCAGTATGATATTTCTATCATTTCTCCCCTGACTCCCAAAACTCCCAATCACTTTGCTTAGAAATTCCTTGGTAGCTCCTAATTGTAAAATGAAATTATTGACATGTCTCTTTTACTAGAAAACTATTGGGGTTCTTCCAGGAAGAAACCGCCTCAGCTCAATGAAAGGCTCCACCTGTTAAAGCCCGGTGACACTGCCTAGGATTAATGGTTAATATTGTTCCATAATCACTGTCTGTTAAGACCTTGCTCTCTTTTCATCATCGGGCACATGTTTCTTGTAAAAGAAAAACCAGAACCTTGTGTTTTCTTTAGATGGTGATTCCCTTCTTCAGTCTCTTTATCAAAGATATCTACTTCCTCAATGAGGGCTGTGCAAATCGCCTTCCAAATGGTCATATTAACTTTGAGGTGAGTGGATTAAATATTCATTTATTATTACAAATAATAGCCAGCATTTATACAGCACTTTAAGGATTGCAAAGCACTTTACAAATATTTTCTCATTTTATTCTCATAACAACCCTGGGAGGTAGGTGCTATTATTATCCCCATTTTACAGATGAGAAGCCTGAGACACAGAATTTCAATGACTTGCCCAGGGTCACACAGCTAGTGAGAGTCTCAGATAGGATTTGAACTCAGATCTTCCTGATTCTAAGTCCATCACTCTCTTCACCAAGCCACCTAGCTCCCTAATTGGTTTTTTCTTAATTTCATGCTCCTAATTGAGTTACCACCAAGTACAAAGTGCTGAATCCATAGTACCATCTAGCTGCCTAGTATACAAAAAACAATTTACTAAAAAGCAGGGTAATGTACCATCTTATCAAACATCATTTGTGGGTCTCTCCTATAAAGTCATATCCATGTTATCCCAAGAGATAACAGCATCAGGCTCTTTCAATGCCTTCTGAGTCATAAAAGAAAGGTTAAATTTCCTTTGATATACTTTTATTGTTGATTGTATTTCATTGTGTCTCAAAACTATGAAAATGTGTTGTATCTCTACAGTGTGTGTTTTGGCTTTTCCCCAATATGGGAAAGTCTGTCATATGGAAGAGAGATTAGGCTTTTCCTGTAGGACTACATAAATAATGAGTGATTGTCTTGAAGGTGGTGGGGAAGAAAGTGAAGCATTATAGCAACACGAAGTGACAAAACCAGTATAATACAAGCCCTACCATTCAGGGGCTTAATTCTTCTTTATGGGTAGAGATCGAACCCTCATGGTGATGCATAGGAACCAATGGGAGACCTCACAACACAGTTTTGAAGTGAAGAAAGAATGATAACACTCACATTGAGAAAGTGCTTTAGCTAGGAATTGTTTCCTTCTTACTTAGATTAGTGAGAGCCTTTCAGGTTTGATTTGTGTGTTTCTTCCTTTCCCTTTCAGAAATTCTGGGAGCTGGCCAAGCAAGTGAGTGAATTTATGATTTGGAAACAAGTAGAGTGTCCCTTTGAGAAAGAGCGGAAGACATTACAGTATCTGCTCACCGTTCCAGTCTTCAGTGAGGATGGTGAGCGTCATGTTCAGTTGACAACCTCTCTGGCATTCCTCTTGGAATTATCAAAATAGCAGCACTTGGCCCTTCCTTCCTCCTGCCCTCTGATTATCTGTCCCCTCTCTGATCTCCAAGATGACCCAGAATGTATTCTAGCTTTCATTTTTTCTGTTCAGTGAGCTGCAGCTTTGGGATTGATATCATTGGTGTTACTCAATTTCAGCTGGTGCTTTTGAATTCTCTCAAAAAGAGATGAGTCTGGATAATGTAGAGTGAGAAATGAATGAAGAAATTTACAAGATTGAAAAGTCAGCCCAGTAATGTTACTTGTCTATTAGTTTAAAAAAAAAACTGGGAATATCAAGAAATGATTTTTCTCTTTCCCTCTTGGCCCAGATTCTTTGATGTCTTTGGGTATGCATGCAGCATAAATTCTCTCCTAAGCATTTTAATGAGCTCTGTTCTGAAAGGGCTTTTTGTCTGGGCTCGGTCATCACATAATCAGAAGTGAGTGATACCTATGTTCTTAACAGAATTGGGCATCCATAAGTGGTGAATCATATGGTGGGGCAGCTGGGTAATTGAACGTCAACAGTGGGCACAGCCTACCTTGCTAATATCGCCTTTCTTTTTTTTAAATTTATTTTAAATTTTATTTTTTGATTAACAAGATGCATTTTTTCTCCCTCCTAAGTCTCTCACAATTGGAAATTAATACCAAATAAAACAAAGTACACATAACAAATATGCATAGTCAAATTCCGACCTTGGCAGTTTTTTAAAAATCTGTTTCATTATGTACCATATATCTCTCTTCTTTCTAATTGCAGCTCTTTACCTGGCTTCCTATGAAAGCGAGGGCCCAGAAAATAACACGGAAAAGGACAGATGGAAGTCTCTAAGGTATATTCCAAAGGTTGTTACTCATCAACCTGAGTGAAATGGTGGTGTTCCCACGGTCCCTCAATAAAAGACAAAAATGGAATGGTCCCAGCCCCCAAGGAGCTACGAGTGTGCTAAGTGTTGCAATCACTATATGTGGTTCTGCCAAATCTGAAATATTCAGTGTAACCAACATGAATTCCCCTCTATATGGCCTCCCTTTGAATGAAGCCGTCTTCCCCATAAAGCATGGAAGACCCATGTAGATTCACTATCGTCCACGGTGTTGATACCCCCCTGTCACTTTATTTTTTGTTTATTTTTTATTTTTCAAAACTCACAGGTAAATAAATATCTTTCTGAGTTTTTAGTTTTTCCTTCTCACTCGTTTCATCTTCTGAAATGAATTATTCTTAACCCATGGTATAGTGGAATGGACTTTGGACAAGGAAGCAGGACACTTGGGTTCCAGTGATAGTTCTATCCCCACCTTCCATTTCCCCCTGCCTCCCTAATAGGCTAATTTTATAATCTCAGTCCAGTTATAATTCTCTAGACCTCAATTTCTTCATGTAGAAATGAAGGGAGGATTGTGGACTAATTCATTTCCAAGGTTGCTTCTAGTTCTCAAATTCTGTGATAGTTATTTGTGTAAGAATGTTTTCTCAAGCAAAGTCAAGATAGGAGGTTTTTTCAAAGGGGTAAAATTAAGAAATTGGTTGTTCAAGGGATACTATAATCTAAACTTAAGCTTGTTTCTATTTGCATTCTTAGCACAAAACTATACAGGAATTTTTCATCTTTGTATCATCTTTGTATTACTATTTTTATTCAGATTTTAGAGGCCTGGGGCTGGTCTTCCTTCTGCCATCCAAGTATTTGGGGAGACCATTAATAAAACCCATTTCAAGTTAGATGTGTAGTTAGGAATGAACCACGATGTAGATCTAGTAGCTCTCCTCTGAATTTGCCAAAAGTTTCCACTGAAAGGTGCTAAAAGCTCAATATGCATGTTATGGGTTTGGGAAGATGACAAAAAAAATAGAATTATCCCTCGCCTTATTAGAAGATACAATGAGAATTCTGGAGAAATTTTTTAATAATTAATTTTCCAATTGCAGGAAGAAACAGAAGCATTAGCACCAGCCATCCCATTTTTTTGTCGCTTTTCCCCAGGGCTCACATTCTAGCCACTATTCACCCAATACCCAATCACTCATGCTCTTGCTCTCTGCAGTTACATATCCCAGTAACTCTGGCCACTGGCCTGGAATTATGGGGGTGTAACTAGCCTGGTGTGCAGTAGGAGTCTCATCTTGATAGGGAAATATCAGCTAGTGCGCCTTTCAATATGCAAAATACTGTGATTGTACAATGTCTTAGAAATAGGGGTATATTTTAAAGTCAGTGTAACTGCCCCTTCTAATGAACATAATAGGGAAAAGACACAAGACAGAACTAGAATCTTTCCAGGTTTTGCTTGTTGGTTGCTTTTAAAAGTGTTGGGTTCTGATTTCCTTCCTAAGAAGAAGTATTGAAATTCTCTAACCACTTGTCTTCTTAAACGTCTTGACTGTAATTCCTCCAAGTAGTTTAGCCAGATGAAAAAGATGGTAGTTGGGCACATTCTCACTTGATTAGCACAATGACCATGTGAGATAGATATTACAACTATTACTTTTCCATTTTACAGATGGAGCTACTTAGGGTTATCTGTAATATTAAGTGACCTGTCCAAGATCACACAGCTAATAAGTAACTGTCAGAAAATCTAAGCCAGGTTTTCTGACTCAGTCCAAGTCAACAAGCATTTATTAAGTACTTACTGTGTGCCAGGCACTGTGCTAAGCAGTAGAATATGAATACAAATAGACAGTCTCTGCCCTCAAAGAGCTTACATTCTAATGGAAAAAGACAGTATATGAAAGTGGGAGAGGATGGAAACAAAGGTACCCACCATGGGTCATACATAGTAAAGTAGTAGAGAAAGTTCCAAGCGTAACCTGGAGAGGAATGAGATAAGGGCACCCTCTAGAAATGGAGGTTCTGGAAGGAGCCATCTACTCAGATCCCAGAGACCAGAGTGGAGGAGGATACTTCAGATGTGTGAATTCCAGGACTGGAGTGAGCTGGGACGTGGCAGAGTGAGTCCAGAGTACATCCTAGAGAAGAATGAGTCCAGTGTTTCAAAATCCCAGAGTTTGAGTGTTGGAAGGGACCTCCATGGCCATATTCGTCCAGCCAAAACCTTAAGAGTATCTCCACTATAACATCGCATGACAGTAACTGATCATCTAGCTTCTGCTTGAAATCCTCACAGAGGGACTTCAACTAAGAGTTCATTGCCACCGAGTTGGCCTTGTGTACAGATTGAATTTTTTTTTTTTGCTTTTTGGTGAGACGATCAGGGTTAAGTGACTTGCCCAGGGTCACACAGCTAGTAAGTGTCAAGTGTCTGAGGCCAGATTTGAACTCAGGTCCTCCTGATTCCAAGGCTGGAGCTCTATCCCCTGTGCCATCTAGCTGCCCCCACAGATTTTAAATGAGAAAAATAAAACACTTACTTTGCAAAAGTTAAAGTACCATATTAATATAATCAATTATTATTAGATAGTTGCCCCCATATGATGTGATTTAAGTAGCATTGGATTAAGTGACATCTGCTTCACCTGTCCCCAAAAAACCATCCCCTTCCCTGGTGCCTCAGTGTACGAAATTTCAACATTTCCTTTGGCTTCTTATTTTTTCCCCTGAAAAAATATATATTCTTGAGAAAAGTATGCATTGGACTAATTCACATTAAAAGTGACTTAATCTGAGTATTCTAATTGACTGGAAAGATTTAAAGGCACAGGGTTGAGGTGGGGGAGTGGAGTTATAAGAAAACTTCAGGAGAGGCATTGAAATGGACAGAGGGACCCTAACAGGAACCAGAAAGCCACTGAATAAACTCTTTTGCAATATCACCTGGTCTCAACTGAGTTCAACTATTTTTTCTCTTCTAACTTCTCCCCTCCCCTTTTTTTGTGCTAATCGGATAAGTAAGTCAATAGGAAATGATAAACATCTTACCTATGGAATCCAGGCAGGTTAAAACAATCCCATTTCGCTTGTAAATTCTTCCCTACCAGACATTGTGTGTAAAAAAATAATAATAATTCTATAAGCTAGGTGACAAGAAAACAAGGAGCTCATAATTCTTTAATCTGCCCTCCACTGGTAGGTGCCATCTATCTGCCTGTAATTATTTCCCCTTAGATCGTAGAAAAATTCTCTCCCTGTTCAGCTTCTGACATGGAATTACCTGGAGTAGCCTCTCTTGGAGATTAGTTTAATGATACGCCTTCTGATTCTCCTTCATTTAAATTCATTTGCCTTTCATCGCATGAAGGAAAGCAACTTTTAACATCCAGCACAGATTCAGTTCCTCCACAGAATGAGCCCTTCTTTTTTTTTGTTCAGTGTGTGTGTGTGTGTGTGTGTGTGTGTGTGTGGCACACTCAATCAGTGAACGCTGCCAGTCTATTCATTACCATGCTCAGGACTTTAAAGCCCTTCCCTTAACCAAGGAGGAAAAGCACAGATCCATTAATTCCTGTCTGCTTAGAGAAGACTGTGTTCCAGGAAACTATTTGCAAACATTCTCAGGAATGCTTATCAAAAATTGAAGTCTGACCTAGACCCTATTCTTTCCTTTCCTCTCTCCATCTAAATTTGTAAAAACAAACTACAAGACAAGTATAAATCAGGCTCACCACACTGATGCATGATGTTCTCTCATGGATGATTTTATTTCTTTTCAGGTCCAACTTCTTAGGCAGAGCTTAAGGTGAGAGAGGCCGACGTCCACTGCTGTAGCTACACCATCGCTGCTGTGTACTCGCTCCTTCGGGAACACATCACGTCATCATTGTTGCTTTCGGCATCCAGTGGTAGGAAAGCGATAGCTACCCCGAACTCAGCAGACAGAAGAAGGGCTCGTGTGAATCAAGAAAGCAAATTCATTGGAGAACAAAGGAAGAACAGACTTCCTACAGATGACAGATTGAGTTATCTTGTGTGAGATTCAGACACTGACTGAAGGCGGCTTTGACAGAATCCTCTGAAGCTATTGGAATTGCCATGTGATTCATCTTTCTTGGACTCTCCGTGGGAATGAATCACTCTGTACTGGAGGGAGAGAGAGAGAGAGAGAGAGAGTCTGTGTCTACATGCACCCTTTTGCATTATTTGGATTGAAGATTTGCTGCTAATGGGACATACCAAGGCTCGATGCTGACTCATAGAAAGATGTTCACTTAGGAAAGAAAAAAAAAAGGACAGAACCTCCTTCTTGCTAGAAAACCATGCTCAATAATCCAAGAGGCTCAGCTTAATTGGTATTGACAGAGAAAGACTGGTCCAATGCTGTCTACTGAGTTTGTTTCAATTGGGTGTATGATGTGGTGTGTTTTTTGTGGGTTTCCCTCATCCCATAAGATATTGAGTTGGCTGCTGGTTAGCAAACTCATTTTTACTAATATAAATTATTTAAAATAATGAAGCTTAATTCTGTGGCATGGAAGATGGCCACTAGAAAACTGTCATTTGAAGTTGAACTATTTGACATGCTAGAAGGTAGTTTTCTTTTCTTTTCAGCTGTTTACAGATCACCACTGTGTTCTGTCATTATTTCTTCAATAGTCTTTTGTTAATCATAATTTTCCATGACAGTTATTTCTTTTCCTGTGTAAGTTCAAACAATTTTACTTTTTCAAAAGATTCTTCTAGAGTACCCAATACATCTAAAATATCTATTACATCATTTCTCTTGGTTGTTTTAATGGTAATATTCATGTGATCAACATGCAATGTGGGCAGCATCAATATATTATGCACATGTGATAAATCAACATGATGTACATGGGATCAGGCAGTGGGATGCATACATACATACATGATCAGCATGTGCTGTGCACGTGTGTAAGAGGTAGGCCTAATGCCCCACTCTTAGTCCAAGTTCAGTTTGGGGACAAAATCGTCATTGAACAGTTAACAAAAAGGTTGACTGTGCCCTATACATCAAGGATACAGAAGTCTTTAGCTGCAGCTTTGGTACATGCATCCTCTTCCTACCAAAAAACTCATCTGGTCAGCATCCAGAAAAACATGGGTCAACTAGACCCCTGGGGACTGCTTTGTTTCCCCTTGGGAAAAGCTAATCCCGGTCCTAAGAGGGAGGCCTAGGCCTCCCCCACATTGTGGGAAAACACTGGGAGACGTTAGTCCTATTACATACCACCCTCTGGTGGCAAGGTTCCCAGGATCTTCAGTGGGACCTTTCACTTCTTTCCAGACTCCAGGAATTCCATTGTAGTAAAAGCCGACCCATCCTCTGCTTCACATGGATCCCACCACCCAGTGGAGGAAGTCATATTCTGGGGTATAGTAATAAAAAAGCGGGGGCTGTCTTCTCTGGGGTCAGAGTACTCAAGTCTTCCTCAGTGCTACTGTCATTCTGTGTTGTTTCTGCTTTCAGCAGGATGCTGTGAGAGCTCTGGGTCAGAGACCTTCTTTCCGTCCCTGGGACTCTGTTTCTGACTGCACCCTACTGGTCCCCACCCCCTTCAGGAGAGCTTCCTTCACCAGCTGCATTGATTATCCCTGGGTCCTCAGTGCACAGCCTTTAAATGCTTTAAAAACTGAGAGTTGTCTCTAGTGATTCAATGCGCTAGACCAGTTACTTTTCACTCTAATTTTGCTGACAGTCCGACAGACTGCAGACCTGCAGGATGGTCCGCAATAACCAGGGAATGCTGGACCTAACACCCAATGCCCTCCCTAGCAGCCTCCTCTAGCACCCACTGGTCTGACTGCTCTGCGTCAGTGGGAGTCAAGATTGCCCATACATGACCAAAAGGGCTCGAGCGGCTGGGCACCACCAAAAGTGTCTGGACATCCAGGGACCCCACCATCCAGATTTTTTGTAAGCCACAAGACCACTCATCCCAATTTGCTGACTATTCCAGATGTTAGAAGCTGGTCCGCCTCTCAGTTCGAGTTTAATTTTTGGACAAAATGAGGTGCTCATAAGTCATTGACCAGTTAACACAAAATAGGTTGGTTTTGCCCTAACACACCAAGGATATGCCACAAGGCTACGATGGCCCTTAGTTGCAGCTTTGGTGGACATGACCTCCCTCACCTCCTTATGGGAACGTATCTGGTCAGCAACACACGGTCTCAGGCACCCACCAAGTTAAAGAGGCCTAGAAGCTACATGGCTGGGGCTTTTTATGCTTTTAGGTGACCAAGAAATCACATCCAGGAAGCTGAAGCCTTCCTGTTCCTGGAGATAGCTTTGTCTCCTTTTAGTGAAAACTGATCCCTGTCCAAGGAGGAAGAGGAGGGCCCCTCACCCTATTGTGGAGAAATGCTGGAAGATATCCAGCAGTCCAGGAGGGATTCCTCAATTCAGGCCTAGGCTTTTCTAGGAAGGAATCTTGTCCATCCTAGAAGACAGAGGCCAGGGCAGCTGCAGAGTTCACACTCTCTAAGTTTTCTTGGGGCCCCCCAGAGGTGGTAGAAGAAATAGACTGTTCTCCAGTGGCAGCTACTGGGGACTTCCTCTAGGGTCCAAGCCCAAAGACCCAGGGTGGCTGGGGCACCTAGAAATGTCCTCTTAGCCACACTATGTGGACTGGGTTCCATGCTAAGGTCAAGGCCACATGTAAATTGGTGATGGCATCAGCATAGGCAGGTGGTCAGGGCTTCAAGTGACTTTCAGTGTCATTGGGGCTTTGAGAACTGCCCAATCCTGTTGTCCAAGTGGCTGGGGAGGGGGTGCTGCTACGAGGGTCCAGGTCAGTGGGTGGGGACTTAGAATGAGTAGGTTCCTAGATACTGTGAACAGATCCCTGGGTAGATGCCAGCAAGTAAATGAGCCTCCAAGAGGCTCAGTTCAGGTACTGGTTCAATGGGTGGGCAGCGGTCACAGCGGCTGCACTGAGGGCAGAGTCTAGTGCATCCCAGGAGGGTGAGTGGTGCTGCAAGTGACCACTGTGCTGTCTCAGGTCCCTCCTGGGTGGACAGTAGCTTAGGAGGGACCTTGGGGTCAGTTTAGCTAATAGGACATGTTGAGTACCTATTACCCATCTAGTTCAAAATGTCCAAAAGTAGAGTGGTGGTAGGGCGGAACTCAGGAGTCTCTGACTAGATATATAGATCTCGGAAGGAAGGAAGGAAGGAAGGAAGGAAGGAAGGAAAGAAGGGGGAGAGGAAGGAAAGAAGGAAGGGAGGAAAGAAGGAAGGAAGGAAGAATAGATGGATAGAAGGAAGGAATGAATGGGAGGAAAGAAGGAAGGAAAGAAGGAAGGAAGGAAATATTTTTTTTTAATTTTAAATTTTTATTTTCAATTCCAAATTCTCTCCCTCCCTCCACTCCTTCCCCACCCATTGAGAAGGCAAGAAATACAATACTCATTATACATATGAAGGCGTGCAAAACATTTTTCCATATTAATCATTTTTTTTGGAGGGGGCAGTTGGGGTTAAATGACTTGCCCAGGATCACACAACTAGTAAGTATCAAGTGTCTGAGGCCAGATTTGAACTCAGGTCCTCCTGACTTCAGGGCCGGTGCTCTATCCACTGCGCCACCTAGCTGCCCCATATATTAGTCATGTTGCAAAAGGGGAAAAAAAAGAAACACAAGAAAAAAAGTGGAAAAAATACTTCAATCTGAAGAGTTAATCAGTTCTCTCCCTGAATATGGTTTGCATTTTTCATCATGAGTACTTTGGAACTGTTGTGCATCATTGTATTAATCAAAGTAGCTAAGCCTTTCACAGTTGATTATCATTACAATATTGCTGTTGCTATGCTGTTGTGATGGTGATGGTGGTGGTTGTCCATTCTTTTTTGAAGAAAACCAATAACATTTTGATTGGGTGGTGTCTTGACTTGTGAGTGAATTGGATTTAAGTGAGGCAGAGTTGCACAAAGTCCTCAGCCTCACTCTCTCTTCCAGAATCATCAAAGTCCAGTGAAAGACAAAAGTCAAGATGACTGGCAATGGCCCCGGATGCTATGGATGACCTTGGCATATCTGATGCCTCACCAAGCTCTAAGCATTTCACAGTGCCTGCTTCAGATGCTTTCATGGCTGTTGGAACAAATTGTTCTCATCTGCCCATTCCACCTGGGGGGAAGTCTTTACATGCTTTACTATTTTATGCTTTTCTTGAATCTTGTGTTTGAATGTCAGATTTTCTATTCAGCTCTGGTCTTTTCATCAGGAATGTTTGGAAGTGCTCTATTTCATTAAATATCCATTTTTCTGCTTTAGGATTATACTCAGTTTTGCTGGGTAGATTATTCTTCATTGTTTTCCTAGCTCCTTTGCCTTCTGTAATATTATATTCCAAGTCTTTCTCTCCTTTAATGTGGAAGCTGATAAATCTTGTGTGATCCTGATTGTGGTTCCACAATATTTAAATGGTTTCTTTCTGTCTGCTTGCAATATTTTCCTTTTGATCTGGGAGCTCTGGAATTTGTTCATAATATTTCTAAGAGTCTTCATTTAGGGATCTCTTCCAGGAGTTTATCAGTAGATTCTTTCAATTTCTGTTTTGCCCTCTAGTTCTAAACTATCTGGGCAATTTTCCTTTATAATTTCTCAAATTATGATGTCTATGCTCTTTTTTAAATTGTGGCTTTCAGGTAGTCCAATAGTTCTCCAATTATCTTTCCTCAGTCTATTTCCCGGGTCAGTTGTTTTTCCAATCAGATATTTTACATTTTCTTCTATTTTTTCTTTCTTTTTTTTTTTAACTTTATGTTATTGTTTCTCATTTGTCATGGAGTCATTAGCTTCCTCCCAATTTTAATTTTTAAGGAATTATTTTTTTCAGGAAGTTTTGTATCTCTTTTACCATTTGCTCAATTCTAATTTTTAAAGAGTTATTTTCTTTAGCATATTTTGTGCCTCTTTTACTAAACTGTTAATTTTCTTTTCATAATTTTCTTGCATTGCTCTCAATTATTTTCCCAATTTTTACTCTGACACTCTGATTTATTAAATCTTTTTTTTTCCTCTTTTTTATCCCTTTCTTTAGCTCTTCTGGAAATTCTTATTGGGCTTGTATCCAATATGCATTTTTCTTTGAGATTTTGCTTGTAGGTGTTTTCAAATAATTTTCTTCTTTTGAGATTGAGTCTTAAACTTCCCTGTCACCGTAATTGTTCTTTATGGTCTGGTCCTTTTTTTGTTGTTTGCTCATTTTTCCAGCCTGTTTCTTGACTTTGGACTTTATATTGGAGTTGGACTCTGCTTACCTCTGAGACTGGGTAATTGTGACTGTCCTAAGCTCCAGGCTTCTATGTCCTGCTGTTTTCATGGCTATATCTATGGGCCTGTAAGTTTTCAGTGTGTCTAAGATGCTGTGATCTGGGGAGGGGTCTGGTCACTGTCCTCCTGGTCTGTGCTCTGATCGTTACCCAGGTAGGAACGATGGTCCCTTGAACCACAACTCCTCTCCAATGTGGAATTCTGACCCATACCAATGTGGGGCCCATGTTCCCTTGCCACCACAAGCCCTCTTCTCTGTGGCTTGGAACTGAGTAATAGGCTACAGAGTCCTGCACCCAGTTCTAGCATAGTTGTCCCCTATAATCTCTTTCTGACCAGATGTTCAATCTCCTTACCGTCTCTGGGTACTGACGACTTCTCAGTGTTGCTGCTGCTGCAGCCACCGTGGCCACCTCCAAAGCCCACAGCTGATATCACTTCTGCCATTCTGTGCTTTCAATCAACCCCACCAC